CTCTCTGGCGCCGACTGCTGCTGACCTCTGGGACGTGCAGGGAAGCACGTGCAGGGCCTGATCCTGCTTCAGCTTAGTCCAAACGGGGGCTGCCTAGTTCCGACCCGACCCAACACTCTTAAGGGCCCACAGTCACAGGTGGGCAGATCCAGGACCCAACCCCCAAAAGGGTCTGGGGATACACACGAGAGTAAGGCCCACTAAAAAAACCAAAAAAACACCCACACGCCCAACACATAAAGCAGTTGCCACCAAGTCAAATCCATCTCCTGGAGAGTCCCCACCCCACCCCGGCCCCCCGTGGGCCAGAGAAATATGCTACAAAGGGTTTCCAACTCACTGGCACAAGTCGATGCCAACTCACAGCGATCCTGTAAGACAGGGTAGAACTGCCCCCTGCGAGTTTCCGAGACTGTAACTCTTTACAGGAGTAGAAAGCCTCGTCTCTCTCCTGTGGATCGACTGTTGGTGTTGAACTGCTGACCTTGCCGTCAGCAGCCCAATGTGTCACCGTTATGCCACCAGGGCGCCTACACAGAGGGTGTCTAGTGGTTGTCTTGCTGTTGTATTTTTTTATAAATCATATTATTGGGGGCTCTTACAGCTCATATAACAATCCACCCATCCATTGTATCAAGCACATTTGGACATCGTTGCCATCATCATTTGCAAAACCTTTCCTTCTGCTTGAGCCCTTGGTACCAGCTCCTCCTTGTTCAGTGGCTGGTTTTTCAGAAGCAGACTGTCAGGCCTTTCTTCCTGGGTGGATGCCGACCTCTAACCTCCTGCTTCACCGCTGGCCGGGGAGGACATCACTGTCTGCACCCCCTGAGGACTCTGAGCCAGCGGGGATGTCTTGCCACTGCCTCCTCTCAACACGCCCCCAATTCCCCGATTCAGATATTGTCACACCCATCCTTTCCCACCACCCACCTGCCCCAGCTCCCCGTCTCCTCCTTCCCTGCCCTGGAAGGCAAGCACAGCTGAAACGTGTCAGCCAGGCCACGAGCGCACACCCTCCCAAAGCCTGGCTGGGCCTTTTTGGGCTCTGACACTCGGCCAGAACCTCTTGGGAAGATCTACGATTCTCCTGAGACAAGTTGCTGATGCTCATGTACTCACTGCCAGGGCACGCACCCCTCACTCACCCAGTAGAGGAACCAGCCGTGAGTGCAGGGGGGTTCATGGGGGGGAGTGGGCTCCTGACAAGCTCCCGAGGGTGGCCCTGAGGGAAGGAGGAAGGGACACTGGTGGGGTGGGGTAGGATGGGGGAGTGGTGCGCCAGGAACCCAGCAGGATACCCACGCCCACATGTCTGGCAAGACCCCGTGGTGGCCCCAGTGGGAGGTTTCTATGGGTGCACCTGGGACAGGAGGGCAACTGTCCTGAACCTGTTTGGTGCAAGCTTGTTGGTGCCAAAGAAGGCATCTTAATAGTGGAATTTCAGAGCTTGTGCCAAGTGGTGAGGTGTGTGATTTTCCACAGAGGGGGTGGGTGTCATTTTGGGTGTGTGTGTGTGTGTGTGTGTGTGTGTGGCTTCTCCATTCTACCGTGAGCATGAGTGCAGACCTGCCCCGGGCAGTGCGACTGGCATGTGCTCTTTATAGTTGGCTGTGTTTGTCGTTGACCACTGAGTCGGCTCTGACTCATGGGGACCTTGGGCACAATGGACAAGACACTGCCAGGGTCCCAAGTCCCCTCACTCAGCTGCTGTGTTGGAGCCCATTGCTGCAGCCACCCCACCCCTCTCCAGCCCCCTACACTGACCCTCTAGCAAACCTCGGGTGTTGCCTGAGGAGTTGGCGCTGTTACCTGTGAACTTTCAAGCATAATGTTTGCAACCCCCTGTGGAGACAATAGGTTGGGGCATGGGGTGGGGCACAGTGCTCACTTTGAAAAGGAACAGGCTCCATGTCCCCTAAAAGTTGTCACCTTTAGTAAACAAGCAGCCATCTAGCTCAGAAGCAACAAAGCCCACATGGAGGAAGCACACTAGCCTGTGTGATCATGAGGTGTCAAAGGGATCAGTTATCAGGCATTAAAGAACAAAAAACCAAATTGCTGTGAATGAGGGGGAGTGCAGATTGGAGACCCAAGACCCATCTGTGGGCAACTGGACATCCCCTTACAGAAGGGTCGGGGAGAGGAGACAAGCCAGTCGGTGCAGTGTAGCAACGATGAAACATACAACTTTCCTCTAGTTCCTAAATGCTTTCTTCCCC